TAGTACATTTAAAAGATTATCTCCATTTAAAGACTTTAAAATATTCATAACCAATTCTAAAACTAATTTTATTGTTTCTGTTTTTTAAGCCCCATTTCTTTTACTAATATTTTTTCGATAAATTTCTTTACCTAAAATACCCCCAATAGTAAGTAACTCGGGTGATTTAGGTCTGGGCCTTTTGGTTGGATTTTTATGAATAGTGTATTTATGGGAGTTCATGCTTTTTGAAACGCTTGAATTGGAAAGGGTGGAAAGGGATTTTGGGATGATAAATCTATGGGTAATTGGGAAATTAATGTTTTATTTTCACTAATAGTTGCATTTGTATAGGATCTATCAGGAATTAATTTAATTGCGTCATTATATGTTAAATTGTTTTGGGACATGATATCTTTAATAGTTTTTTGCCTCCGGTATTCAGGACATATTTGAAAATTTGTGGTTGAATGATCGCCCCTACACTGAAGACATTTATATATTAGGTTTTCGGTGCATTTAGAGCATAGATGTTTACCATAACATTTAAAGCATCTATATTTACCGAGACATTGTCCACCTACATGTCCGTAACGATAGCAATTATAACACAAAACTACTTTTTGTACAAGTCTTTTACCTCTATTAATACTTTATTAATATCCACATGTTTTGGTAAATTTTGTGCCCTGATAATCACAAAAAAACTTTTAGTTCTAACACAAACCGTAGTGTTATTTTGAACAAGTTTTCTTATTAGTCTTTTGACTTCAACTACTGTGAATTTACAATAATAATCTTGTGCTTTAATTTTATCTTTTAGATCCTCGACTGAATTATCCTTATCAATATCTCTATCAGTATCGGTGCGATTCCAGAAAGTTCTTATTTGTCGTTTTATAGCGAAGGTGACCCAACGGGTGTCAGGCAGATTTTGACCTAGAAATTACGAGAATCAGTAAAAAAAAAGAATTAGTCATAAAATATTTACAGTTCTATACGCCACAACATTTAAAATCGTAACATTGCCCCCCTCTTAAAAGATGGTTCCTCCTGGAACCTTGTCGGGACTGGAACTGGAATGACATGCTGATATCGGCAACTGGACCCTCTTTTACAACTTACAGTTGTATAAAAATGACAAGGGACGGTTTTCTCTGAGCACCAGTAACTATGCGGATTGCAACAGACTAACACCTGGACTTCGGTGTCTTTAAAGATCTCTTCCACCATATTTCGGATAACCCTCCAATCTAACTGGCGGCACTCCAACTTTGGCATGGCTAACTTTTGCACGTCAAACTCTAGTACGTGCTGTCTCAATTGAAGTAAGGCTTCCCATACATCTCGGTAGGTAGGTTGGTCACGGGCAGTGTCTTTTGTAACCGGGTAGAATAGGTAACGTGATGCATCTTGGAGTTTCAAGGTTTTACCGGGAGCTGGCACTTGGCATTAAAGTTCTGCAACTCGACCGAACTTCCTTCGAAAGACGGATGCCAACCCTGGTGCGTCTTTGATACTAGCCGGGATGGTAAGGGCCAGTGAGTAGTCATCGGGAAGCGCGAGTAGATCTTGCCTTTATTCAGTGGTAACACCATGTCTTGCTTTACCGGTACCTCCATAGGCACCCAGGAAATCCTCAAACGTGAGGTCAGACACATCTTGGACTTGGTTTACTTCCACTTCTTCATCTACGTCGTGGTCACCTTCGAAAGACGCCAGCCGGTTATGGTGTACTATCATCGGCTTTCCTCTCGGAATCTTGCATATTCGGTAAATGACATCATTGATCTACTCCATAATGAGGTATGGACCTTCCCAAAACTGCTGCAACTTAAGAGAACAGCCTTTTCGCTTTTTGGGATTATAGAGCCAGACTTTGTCGTTCTTCTTAAAACACCCCTTTTCGACTTGCGTATCGTACCGTTTCTTAATTCGGTCACTAGCGATCTGGAGATGGGAACGGACCAACTCGTGTACATCGTCCATTCTTCTTCGTAATTCGATACCATAATCTTCACCTGCTACATCTTATCCAGGTCGACACCCAAACTCTAGATCACAAGGTAGTCGCATCTCGCGTCCGAATAGGACTCTGGCTGGTGTCTGGCTTGTCGATTTGTTAACAGCAGATCTGTAGGCCATTGTGAAGAACGGAAGATATTGGTCCCAGTCTCGCTGATGATTGGACACCATCTTTGTCAAATACTTGCCAACTGTCCTATTCATTCGTTCTACCATACCATCCGATTGCGGATGATAAGCCGTAGTTTTTGTCTTCTTCATACCTAGTCTATCACATATTCCTTGGAATAGATCGCTTTCGAAGTTCCTGCCTTGGTCACTATGGATCTCCAAAGGCACTTCAAATCGGCTGATATATTCTTGGATCAACTTATCTGCAACGGTGGCTGCCTTCTGATCCGGAAGTGCTTAAATCTCGACCCACTTAGTGAAGTAATCCATTACTACCAACACAATGAAACCGTTCCCGAATTCGCTGAAGGGTCTTCTTCATACCAAAATGCCCTCCCGATGGACTGTCGTGTAACTGACGAAGTAATTCGGCTATTCTGCTCTTTGGAATCACCAACTGTCTTTTCTTCTCTGAACCGTCATCATTTTCCAGGACTCGTTTAAGCAAGTCATCTTCCATGATAGATGAGTCCCACTGGGCCCAATACGTCTTAACTACTGGCCTAAGTTCGATATTTCTTGCCAAGGTGGTCGATCGTTTTCCTCTTTCCATTCTCGGATTTTCTGTATAACTGGATCTCTCTTGTTCTTCCCTGATCTTGGTAGGTATCCTGTCGTCGTTGACCACCGTCGTTCTTAGCACTGCTGCTTCCTTGGATTCCGTTTTGTTGCAGTGGGAACACTCTGATGGGCATGGCCTTCTGGAAAGAGAATCAGCGTTTCGGTGGCTAACTTCGGCCCGGTGCTCAATCTTAAAATCATATTCTTGGAGTCGTTCGATCCACCTGGCTATCTGACCCTCTAGATTCTTAAACTGCATCAACCACTTAAGGGCGGCATGGTCGGTTCGGATTAAAAACTTCCTCCCATAGAGGTATTGATAGAAGTGCTCTACTGATTTCACTACTGCCAGAAGTTCTCTTCTCGTGACGCAATAATTCCGCTCAGGTTTTGAGAGAACTTTACTAAAATATCCAAGGACTCTTTCCTGTCCTTCTTGAATCTGAGACAGAACTCGTCAAATTCCCACATTACATGCATCTGTATTTAAGATGAACTCTCCTTCTGGAAGTGGATACCCTAAAATTGGTGCTATGATTAAATGCTTTTTTAAAGTCTCAAAGGCATTTTGGCAGTCTACATCCCAGCGGTATTCTCTTGCTTCCTCTTTAAGTCGCGTTAATGGTTTAGCGATATCTGTAAACTTCTTAATAAACCTCCGGTAATAAGTACATAGTCCAAGAAAACTTCTCACTTGATGTTTGTCAGTTGGTTTTGGCCATTCCTTAATGGAATCGATTTTTCCTTTATCCACGGCTACTCTTTTTTTACTGACTATATGACCCAGATAATTGACTTTACCTTGAAATAGCTGGCACTTCTTGGGATTTAACATCAATTGGGCAGCTTTAAGTCGATTAAAAACGTTTTCTAAATTCCTCAAATGATCTTCAAATGTCTCCCCCAAGACGATTATATCATCTAGATAAACGAGTCATGTTTTCCAAGATAAACCTCTCAACACATTTTCCATAAGCGTCTCAAATTTCGTTGAAGAATTACAGAGTCCAAATGGCATAACGTTGAATTGCCATAATCCCGATCATGTGTTGAAGGCTGTCTTTTCTTTATCTATCGGGTCGATCAATCAATATCTCTCAAAATCTCTCTGAATTATCCTTATCAATATCTCTCAAAATTCACTGACGATGAATCATAAATATCGGTATATAAGCCTCAAACTCGCCCACTTAGATTCTACAAAAACAACTTTTACACAATGTTTTCCTGCGAAATCAATTTTTTTTATTTGGTTGTCAAAGGGACCTGTATCGGTTTGTAAATATTTATAGTTAACTCGAGTGTTAATGGCATTTAAGTCGGAGAGTTTTTGTTTGCCATCGATAAATTATTTTTTTCGGGTAAAATATGTTTATTTTTATCTATTTTATTGTCTTTATTTGTTAAATTTACAAAAAATCTCTTATACTAACCTGAATGGTACTTACGTTTGGGATGCTATTAATATTTTTATTTATATTATTATTGATTAAAACCTCCGATGTTATCTCCATATGATTCTGTTCTTCTCCCGCTCTGAGGAATCCTGGTAGGATGAAATACGTATAAGCGAATGTATCTCTTTAAATCTTTTTATCGTTTGTTTGGCTTGCAATTTCTAGAAGGCCCAAATTAAAACAGAAACCTGAAGCTTGGTTTCGTCAAGCAAGAAATCTCCTCATTTCCACTTTGGTGTTTTATTCTCAGATGTCGCTATAGCCACAGAATAATAAACAATCAGAAGGGCCACTCTCAGATGCCGCCTTTGAAGTTTTTCAGCACGCGCGCCATGTTTTAGGAGGACACAAACATATGATTTGTGAGGTTATGCAATTGTTTACATTTATGTTTAATTATATTATATTTATGTTATTATATTTAAAACTGTTAACATAATTGTATAGTATGTCTATGATTGCCGTAAGTCAAATAAACCTGGTTTTTTTTTCATGCACACCATATAAACAACACTGGTTCCCTTTAAAATCCTCGTAAAACATGGCGGAACGTCTGCGCAAAGGAGATGCGCGTACTTAATTTTCCGTGGAGAGTGGGCATTATGTTTGTTTATTATTCTGTGCTATAGCGTCCATATTAAAGCAATCCTGGTAGGATGAAATACGTATAAGTTAATATACACTGGCGCTATACGTGAAATGAAATCTTAACTGTCTTTTTTTCTTATATTTAAAAATATATAAAACCTATTTAATACAATGTTTATGGTTATTAATATTCATACAAAATATTAACATATTTTTCAGGTTAAAGGAGTGTCCAGAATTTCCATTTGGAAAACTTTAGGTTAGTAATGTTATGTTTTTAAGTATTAGCATAATATTTGTTATATTTTGAATAAAATTTTTTAATATTCATTTATTTGTTGTTATTGACTTAAACGTTTGTCACCTCAAATATGTTTCTTTTCCTAAATAAGTACGTACTCGAGCCCCTCTAGGTCCGCGACACTCAATAACAATTATGCATCAGACTTGTAGTTTTTACTAATAACAGAACCGCACTTTTATTGAAAGTCATCTTTGTTTCATTTTGAACGAGATAAATTCGGAACATACGAAAAATATGTGTTTCGGCTCAAATCCGCTCTAGGTAGTTGGTCAACAAAAGGTTGTCAACTAATTATAATATAAAAATCCAATACATCAGCGGGCTGCTAGATTCTGAACTCATTCAAGAACAAGACAAAACTCGAACTCGACGACGTTGAACAACGCCTCTGTATCGTGAGTGGCCGGCTTTAGGCTCTTTTGTTTACCTAAGCAGCCAGATGGATATTTTGAGCGATGTTGCCAATCTCAAGCCTCTAGATGTTTCTCAAATAAAATGCTAGTCATAAAATATTTACAGGAAAGGAAGGAAATAACTAAAAACTATTAAGTTTATTTTTGTTATTAGTCTGTTGTAGTAGATTGGTAAATATAATAAAAAATATACGCAAATATCCGATTTGTTTAAATATACGAAAAAGATATAACTCTCAAACAGATCCGCAAATCGGATTATTACACGGCGATTGGCAACATTGAATTTGAGCGGCAATATAGACTATGTGCAGTGGTTGACTCTTACTTGAAAATTGCGTTGTTTTAGAAAATTTGAAATGAAATTAATGATATAACCTCTAATAATAAAAGTGTGTAATGATCTAATAATATTGTAACGCCATGCTGTGTCGAATGATTTTGTAATGTCTATGAATTCTGCAATAGTTTCCTGCTTGTTCGCGAAGATTCAAGAATATGAAGAATATCATTTTAGTTCGTGCATTGTTTGGTATGAGAATAGGTATAATTATTAAATCACTCCAGGAAGTTGAAAAGACATTATTTAACCATATTCGATTAAAAATTTTTAGAAGAGTATACTTAGCATTGTCTGGCAGTTTTTCCAAGAGTATTAAAGATATAGTATGGGGTCCAGGAGCAGAGTTTGTTGTAGTATTAAGTGAAAAGTTAAGTTCATCCCAGGTTAAAGGAATATTAAAGGAACTATTATCTCTATGGTTACAATCGAGCTGTTGTTTTTCTGTGATGATTTTGTGTTGTATAAACTCTTCAGAATAGTTGCTATTGCTGGAGTTTTTTCGAAGTATGTAGCAAAATCATCAGCTGTTTCGTTAGGTTTTGTTATTACATTAGTATTATGAGTAATAAAAGGCACTTGGTAAAATATGTTTTTTCCTGATATTTTACGAATATTGGACCAGAATGTAGATAAAGGTGTTGTACTGTTTATTATTGAGACAATTTTCCTTCAGTTGATTTTTCGAGCATTTTTTGTTATATATCGAGCATGTGCTCTCTGTTTTTTGTATTGAGTTATGTTAGTTATGTTACTATGTTTTTTAGTTCTATTACAAGATACTTTATATTGCTTGATTGCATTTTGACCTTCTGTATTCCACCATGGCAGAGGTCTGCGTTTCCTTAATATTTAATTTTTCGTATAGGTGTTTCTGCCGCGTATGTAATAATATTCGTAAAAATATTGAGTTTCAGTTATATCACTGTTTTCAAAACTAGATTTTTTTGATTATATGTCTGTTTCTATGGTATCAGCGTCCCAATTAGCGTTTTTCAGGTTCCATTTTCGGACTGGTGGATATTCAGAGATAGTGTTATCAGAAAATACAGAAATTAAATACATAGAAACATTTAAGCTACTATTTCAACACCAACATTTTAATATTTTGACCACGGGGACCAAGAGAATGGTGTATTTACTTACTGTGTGTTTGGGTTTATTATTCTTCACTCACCATTCGTAAGTTCTTTTTCCATGATTTTATATTATTGCCTACCACCATTGTAAGTTTTTTAGATTGAACTGATGAAGCTTGTAAATTCAATAAGCAAAACGTCTTTAAATATAGGAATGAAACTGTGAAATCCTTTTGTTATTTCTCCTTTGACCGATATCTTCGTGACCAAAAGATTTATTTCTTTTGGAACGTACTCATTGAATAATTGTTTGACGGTCGTACTGCTTTATATATATATATATATATATATATATATATATATATATATATATATATATATATATATATATATATATATTTATAAGTGACCTAAATGCAGCTAGCAATGAAGTTGGCCTAAAAATGAACTTGATACAAACAAAAACGATGAATTACGAGCTAGTGGGGGTCCAAGATGTAATAATAAACAACACTATACTTGAGACAGTAGACGAGTATATATACCTGGAAAAATAAATATATAAATCTGGCTCCTTACTTCCAGAAATCAAGAGAAGAATGAAACTAGCTTGGACATTTTTTATTAAAAATGCAGTTATATTTAAATCAAAGATGCCAATCCATCTGAAAAAAAGCATTCGATTAGTGTATACTACCAATCATAACATACCGCTGCGAAACTTGGACATAAAAGAAAGAGATAATATCGAAACTCAAAATCACTCAAAGATCAATGGAACGATGCATGCTAGGTATAACAAAGAGAGATCAAAATAGAATAGAATGGATCAGACATAAAACCAAGGTTACTAATGCAATTCATAGAATTGAATCTTTAAAAATTTAAGAGGAGTTTCGTGAGACTGATATCAAATAAGCACATATGCTTTTTGATCGATCCTGACAAATTAGTGAATTTAATTTATAAAAACCAATAATAGAATTCTTATACTACGTTAACATCAAGTATAATAATGTTAGTTCAGTGTGTATTGAAAAACATTTTCTATGAGTATAGACGTTTTCATCTTTCTTGGCGTGTGCGTGTAGAAACACTTGCAATAAGTTGTTTCATCTGTCTTTCCTTGTCTAAGCTCGATTCGTTTACCTCCTCCAGTGGCAGCTATCTGTATTCGTAAAGAGGCCGAACTTATCACCGACACCGTATCGGCCAAACGCATCGGTGTTATTACTACAATACTGGGAGACGTGAGTGGTCTCTTCATTCCCTTCTCATCGAACTTTACCATGATAAACGTGACTCGCACAATTAAATTACGCATCTGTGTATCAGTGGAGATTTTAATGCAAAGGAGATTTTAATGCAAAAATTGGAGTAGGTACAGTTGAAAATATAGTTGGACAGTTCGGACTAGGAACTAGAAACGAGAGAGGAGAAAGGCTCATAGAATTCTGCCAAGAAAAGAATATGGTAATTGCCAATACTTGGTTTCAGCTTCCTAAAAGAAGACTATATACATGGACGTCTCCTTCACATACAGAAAACCACATTGTCAGAAACCAGATAGACTTTATACGCGTAAATAGCAGATATAAAAACTCTATAACCTCAGTTAAAACTTATCCTGGAGCAGATGTTAACTCAGACCACAATCCGCTAGTGGCTGACGTGAAAATAAAATTAAAAAGAATTGAACTCAGAAAACAACAACCAAAAATTAACGTAAGAATGCTACAAAACGAAGAAATAAAAAACGAAATAAAAAATAATGTGAATGGTAATATGCAAAAAACACTAACTGGCAACAAACAAATTATGTATGTAAATAAAAAGTGGTGTAATATAAAAAACACATTACTGAAACCAGCTCAAGAAAGTTTAATAGAACATAAATCAGAGGCTAAAAAACACTGGATGACAGAAGAAATACTATTACTGATGGAAGAAATAAGGAAATATAAAGGAAAAGATCTACAGAAGTATAAAGAAATACAACGAATAATTAAGGAAAAAATCAAAACAGCTAAGGAAATCTATTTGATGAAGCAATGTAAAGAGATAGAAGAACTAGAAACAAAATATGATATGAGAAATATGCACAAAAAAATTAGAGAAGTGACTGGAATGGGTCGAAATAGACAGCAAGGACACATAAAAGACAAAAAAGGAGTACTACTAGTAGATTTACCAGAGAAGTTAAGGCGATGGGAGGAGTACGTTAGAGAACTTTTCCAAGATGAAAGAGGTGAAATGCAGAAAATACAAGAAATAAATCCTTTAGAGATACAGACGATCACGATAGATGAAATCAAATATGCTATCAAAAACTCTAAAGACAATAAGGCAGCTGGATTAGATGAAATACCAGTAGAACTGTTAAAACTAGTGGAAGAGGACAACTTGGAAGTATTGGCAGATTTATTCAACACGGTGTACGATACAGGAATAATAGCACAGAAGTGGCTAAAGTCAGCATTTATAACCATCCCTAAAAAACAAGCAGCAAAAGAGTGCTCTGATTATCGAACACTGAGCCTCATGAGTCATACTTTAAAAGTTCTGCTAAAAATAATACATCAGAAAATATACGAAAGGCTAGAGGAGGATATTAGCGAGACGCAGTTCGGGTTCCGAAATGAAATGGGTACTCGAGAAGGACTATTTGCCATCAACATATTAATTCAGCGATGTCGGGATGTAAATGTTAATCTACACTTGTGCTTCGTTGACTACGAAAAAGCTTTCGATAAAGTAAGACATGAAAAACTAATATCAATACTTATGAACAAGCGCATTGACAGTAAAATCATAAATATAGTGCAAAAATTATATTGGAACCAAAGTGCCATAAATCAAATTGATGGGCAACACTCAGAAGAAATGAGGATCTGTAGAGGAGTTAGACAGGGATGTGTGTTATTACCACATTTGTTTAACTTATATTCTGAAGAAATTTTCCAAAACACGCTCAATAATATCGAAGCGGGAGTCACCGTTAACGGAAAATTAATTAATAATTTAAGATATGCAGACGACACTGTGATCATAGCAACGAGTATAGAGGATCTACCATCTTATCGAAAGCTTGAGTATAAATAGTGCTGAGATGGGAATTACTATAAACGCTAAAAAAACGAAGTACATGCTGATTACAAAAAGGCCACAAAATATACATCACCTATTGACAAT